CCACATTGAAGGACACCCTAAAAATACCAATACTCTTCAAAAGTGTCAAGGTCATGAAAGACAAGGAAAGACTGACATAATTTATTTGGGTCAAATTATACAGCTGGGCATTTAGTCAAGTCTTACATACACCAACATTTAACCTGTCCAATACCTGCCCTGAACTTTTTTAATATCATGCCCTCACTTTAACTTGAATAATGTCCCCCTATGCAAGAATCTATAAAATAAAATTTTAATCTCAAGAAAACTAATCCTAAATTCACAAAAATGAAAAACTTGAGAGCAATGAACCCGAGTAATAGCTTTATTGTTCATGAACTCCTTCTTCAGACTGGTGCCCATTAAAGGTCCTCCCCCAGAACCCTTACTAGATTTCCTGACATTATACCTGAAATTCTTCCTGTACCCCAGAGGACCTCAGTGGTCACTTTCTTCTCCTTAAATATGTCCCAAGGACTCTGCCTTCCCTCAACTTGGTGGCTACGACCACCAAACCAACCCTTGGAGATTAGTCAGGTTCCCCAGGACTAAGTGAGACACAGTCCTCAGTTTCCTCCAGTTTTGGTGGTTTAAAGCCAAACACAAAGACTGTTTAAATGGTAAAGGGTTTGTGATCATTACCTTGGTGAAATAAGGAGAAACAGGGAGAACCAAAAGAGTTTAAGAAATCATTTTTTTTTACAAATCCTATCAAGTTTTTACACATTCATAATGTATACTTTATAAGTTCCTCACTCCTTTGGTAATATATATTGAAGAATGATAGAGGACAAAGCTGTTGGAGTAGGCAGACCTCGGTTCAAAACCCAGCCTGACTGCTTAATAGCTGTGTGACTTTGGACAAAGATTCACTTCTTCTAGTCTCGATTTCCTCATCTATACATTGAGAAGAACAAAATTAACCCCGAGTCCATAGGATTACTCTGAGAAGTCAATTAAAAAAAACAGAAGCTATAAAGCACCTAAGGAGGCCAGGCACAGAATAGGTACCTCGTATTATTAATTCATGTGATAAACTCATATGGTATATTTAATAAAATATTCAGAACTAGCTAGCTTCCTGCATTTCCCTTCTACCTTACATACCAATAAGATAAGAACACCACATTTTACTCTTTGCCTAGGTTACTGACATCATTATCTTCTCTCCCTAAACTTTTATTGCAGTGTACTTAAATTTCTTTTTGGAAATAGGATACCAGTGGTTCTCTGTATCTTCCTGTAAAAATAAGGATACCACCCACTTCACTAAGCTTTGAGAACAAATATAAGATTATAGAGGTAAAACCACCCGGTAAATTGTAATA